TTTTAGTAATTCCATTGTAAATTTATTTTATTTAATGTTATTTTTTAGTTGCGATTGTTATAAATTTTATTATGATGATACCAACAGGTGTTATTGTAGCAGTAACCAATATGACATTTAGTGAGTTTTATTTAAAAATAATAAATATTTTAAATCATTATTCTTTTGTTTTGTGTTTTAAAGTTCTAGCTGTTCCTATTGATATTCTTAGTAGTTTTATCTTACCTGGTAATCCTATTGGTTTCTTAACACTTGAAGCCTATACACATTCATGTCAATATCAAATTATACATGTTTTATTTGGTTTTAAATTTGCTCATTATATGAAGGTAAAAATAATCTTGTTCAAAAATTTTATTTCAAATGAAATGTAGATTCCACCTCGTATTACATTTTCTATGTTATTGACATCTGTAATAATTGCTAGTATAGTGCATTATATAACAGCCATATATCTTCTTGATAATGTACCAAATATTTGTACACATGAAAATCCATCATGGAAATGTCTCCTTGTAGAAACTTTCTATACATCATCGATTATATGGGGTGCAGTCGGTAAAAAAACTAACAGTCTTTCTATTAAGTTTTAATTTGAACTTTTTTCTCAGGTTTCATAAAGACATTTGGTGTAGGCTCAATGTATGCTCTATTACTTTTCGGATTACTTCTAGGTGTAGTTTTACCTATTATAAGTTGGGTTTTATGGAAAAAATTTCCAAATATAAAATGGTTAGCATTTATTAATTTTCCAATTATTCTGGCGGCAACAAATGATATTCCACCAGCATCAACTGCTGCATTTACAACATGGTTTTTAATGGGTTTTATTTTTAATTTTATTTTATATCGTTATGCACATGAATGGTGGGAAAAATATGCATATGTATTTTCAGCTGCAATGAGTTGTGGTGTAGCAATATGTGGATTTGTTATATTTATAATATTGCAAAATAATGGTATTGAATTTCCTCAATGGTGGGGAACCGGTGGACCAACAAGAGATGGTTGTCCATTAGAGATTGCAAACTATTCAGGATTTGTCCTAACTAATAAGAAATTGTAAATTGTTTGTTTTAAAATCGAAAAAAAACTACAATAAGTATCAAGATTATGCAACAAAGTTCATTTTAAAATATTTTTTCCGATACCATAAATGCTAAAAGGAATCAAAATATTGATTCAAGTAGAATAAATTAAATGCATTGTTAATAAAAATATAAGAAAATCAAAATGATTACTAGTGTCACGTATTTGAAATATCAGAAAGTCAAAACTCTTATCTTTCAGCAAATGGAACGCCTAAATATCGTTTTATTAAGACTAATGAAAGAACCTCATCAACCGCCTAATCGCTTTTGAGTTGAGCCTATATACATGACACAGACTTTCCCAATAAATACTGTAGTATTGCTCAGGAGCATGTGAAAAACTGATTTTTGAATTTTACCTAGAGACTTTGTGTAAAGACAGGTCTTAATGAGAATAATTTATTACGAAAGTGTCAGTTCATTTGCTTTGCTTCTATCCTGAAAGAAGAACATCAAATATGACGATTATTGATTGAATAAGTTCCAATGCGAATGAAATTACACTCTATTAGACTTCTTCTTATCATCAATCGTATCGATTATACTCAAAACAGTCGTTTATACATGCGAACAGTAGAGAGACAAGAATGATACGAAGAGAAACCATGAGACAGGAATAATATAAGGATGCTGTCTCATACAGGTCGTATTTTTCTGAAAATAGGATCTGCCAAAAACTGAAAATTAGTACAACAAGATCAGTTACTATTACTAGAGAAAACATCTTTCTTATTTAAAACTTAACTGAGTACAAAATTGAAAGATAAAAAAAGCATTATTATTGAAGACAAAATAGCAAACTAACCAAAATTGGAAACGAATATCTCACTGAATCAAGATCTTCATTCTTTTCCTTTATTAAATAATTAAAACATACAACTGTATCCATTTCTTATTAAGAGAAGTATTTTTCTAATGAAAAAATCTCCGAATTTTCTCAAAGTATCAAATTCAAAGCTCCGAAAAACACAACAACCACTGTAAAAAAAAAAAAAGTCTTATTTTTATCTATCAAACATGTTTACGAAAAAGCAATGAATCTCTCTCATTCAGTACCCCAGAAAACTACGAGACGTTGTAACAAGAAAATTTTCATATTATTAACGTATATCTAGTGGTTGTAAGTAGATCTGCCAGATAAAGAACATAAATTTCCACGCATTAATATACATTTTATTTACCTAACATATTTGTGACAAGAGAAATATTCTTTTCAATGAAAACTCACATAAACATAAATGATCAATACAATATTACGAAAGATGTATCAATGATTTAAGAATTATCTGAAACCATACATCTTATTATATATTTCAGTATCGTTTACATCAAATAAAACAGTATAACGAAACTTCATTTTCAATGAATTTATTAGAACAGATTAGCGTCCAGTTCAAATCAAATAATAAGCGAAAGAACTGTTCAAACAGAACAGATCACATCGCCAACAAAAAGAAAGAGTTTTTCTATACCCGGAAGAACCATTTCTAAAAATTGTTCAAGCAGCTTAGTTCCAGAAACTGAATTTGTTGATCTAGTAGTAGAAGTTCATTCGAAGCTGTTTTTTTACTTATGGATAAGGTAAGTAAATACTATTGTTATGTATTATAATTGTTGATATCATGAAAACAATTCTATCTGTTATCAAATGAAAAGAAAACATGTATAATTTTTGATAGATAATTGTCATTCGTCATTTAAGAGAATAATAATAAGTCAACGGTTCCGAAATTCCAAATTTTTAAACATGAAACACCTGGTTTTTGCAAGAAAGTTTATGTCTTGCTACTTAGACGGCAACAATTGTGTGCTTTATTTATAGGACAATAATTTTAACATTTAAACGGACTAATTTTGAAAACTTACTTTATGTGTACGTCAACACCGTATTATTCATAAAGCTCATATTGACTTATTCTTATTATTCTCTTAGATGATAACTGAAAGTTATCTGTGAAACATTACAAATGTTTTTTTTTCAAGTGATAACAAGTAAAATTGCTTTCATGACATCAACAATAACACTTAACAGTAGTATCTACTTACTTTATTCGAATGAAAAAAAAATATTTCGAATGATTCATGTGATTCGAACCAGACAAACTCCACCGATAAATCGTTGGTATACTGTCCTGTATCGCTGGTATTGTTTTTTTGAAATTAGTATTCTATGATACATTGTATCAAAACGGGTGAAAAGCTTGCACTAGCCATAGAGCCCAAACCGGCTTCGGTTCTGAGATCATTTTTTTTTTATTATAGATAGCGCTACAAAAAACTTGTATTAGTAAAATCTATTCTGAAACTATTTTTCCCGACGGATTTGAATTCTTTGTAATAAGACAACAGTCTCTGTAGTCGTTAATAATTGGAACCGAAAGCCGTAGGCGCTACAATTGGTTCTTACGAGTGTTGTGATATACCGACGATACTATGAACAAACATGTGACATGGAAAACTTCTATCTCTGACGAAAAAATCAGCCCATTTGAGTGAATTGATACGAAGATATTTCTTTTTTTTTTCATTGTGGTGCTATTTATGAGCGATCCTACACAAATATAAATGATACGAGAGTAATCTTTATATCTCCCTACCATATACAAGGAATATATTCCTTATTTCATGCACTATTGATAAAATGTTAGAAATATAAAAAACACAACAAATCTAACAAAGTTTCTATTAGTATTTGTTAAAAGTTGTTTAGTGACTGATGGTTATCTGAACTATTTTTGATTCAAGGAAATATTCAATTAGCTACATATAGAATTCGAATGAACTAGCCGTATACTAAGAAGTAAGATTTGTAAAATCGAAAACCGATTTTTTAAAAGTATCTTTTAAAAAGATTTTAACAAGAAATAACCTATTTGTTGATTTCTAAATGATTGAAATAGTTGGAAAAATGATGATTTTTTTCCAAAGTCTGAATTTTTTATGTGTTTTCAAAATGAAGATCTAGTTGTTATTATTTTTTTTCTTGGCACCTCAAATTGCCGAGCAAAGGTGATAATAATAGTTGTTATCTTCAAGCAGACATTTTTATTTCAGCAAAAACTGGCGTGATGAATGATAAAATAATATTTATCGTTCTCATATGTTGTTCTCGTCGAAAACTACAATAGAACAGGTAAAATGTTTTCACTGATTCAAACCAAGAAAATATATTTGATGATTGGAAAGAAAGAACTTTCTCAAATGGTTTTAATTGTACGATTTGTTTCAGAACTTAGATAATAAATGCGCTAGTTATGCAGTCTAGCAGCACAGAGAATCATATTTTTAGTCATTTTTAAGTACATAAAATAACTATTGTTTTTCTTTAGATATCAATTTATTAAGTCTTCTATAATGACGATAATTACTGATCTTTTTTTAAATACAAGTGTATGGACCGTAATATTAATTGTTTTACCTATCTTATATTATATTTATTATCGAAAATTTCGTATATTTATATTTGATCAACCGGAAAAAGTTACGAAAGGCAAAGTCATTCGAGGCAAATGCCCACCTTCGTATCCAAACGGTAAATTCATGTTTTTTTTTTTGTGTTTTTGAATGTTATTTCTCTTTGCTTTAGGATGGTTTTGGTTAATAGATTCATGTAATCTTGCTCGAGGTGATGTTAAATTTATTCAACATTGTGGACGTGATGTTGTTCTTTTTCGTGGACATAATGGCAAACCTTACGTGCTCGAAGCCTATTGTTCTCATATGGGTGGGAATTTAGGGATAGGTGGTAAAGTTCGAGATACTAGTTGTATTGAATGTCCATTTCATGGATGGGCATTTGATGGTGAAACAGGTACATGTGTATTTTCATATGATAACCGTAAAGTACCTCGAAAAGTTGATTCATTTAAATATATTGATGTTGAACGATGTACACCACATATATCTAATGATCAACAACCATCGATTTATTTACAAAAAATAGCTGAAAATCAAGAAACAAAACTTAGAAAATATGAATGTCGAGAAATGAATGGATCTATTTTTGCTTGGTATCATGCAATTGAAGAATTAAGAAATAAACCACTTTATGAATTAATTGATATTAAAGATGAAATAAGTCGAAATAATATGGAAGGTAAAGAAAAAGGAAAGAAATCATACTGATTGTTTTTTTTCAATTTCTTTTTCTTTTTTTTTAGTTCGCGGTGAATCTATTAATTATGTCAATTGTCATATTCAAGAAATACCTGAAAATGGTATGATTATCACTTCATTAATTACATTTCATTTTGATAATATTTATTTAGGTAGTGATATTCGTCATTTTGATTTTTTACATGATTCTATTGTTGATTCAATTTCATTCATTAAATTTAAATGGTCACTTTTAGCTGAACGTGCATCAACACCAAATATACGTGAAATAATGAAACATTCAAATACAAAAGCAAATGCTTATAAAATGCATCTATTCGATAGATTTTTAAAAGAAGATAATCTTCGTTATATTAATGTTATGTCACTTGATTGTTCATTACATTTATTTAATAAATATGAAATATATCTTTTTAATACAACTGGTTTTCAAATTGGTCCATCAATTGTTTATCTTTTTCTTTGGTCACCTTATTTTAAATTAACATTTTTTCATACATTAACACCATTAGAAAAATTTCATCAACGTGTTGTACATCGTATTATAACTTCAAAATGGATGCCTTATTGGTTATCAACTCTTTTACTTATGGGAGAAGTTAAACAACTTTATTCCGATATGAAAGTTTGGAATCATAAAATATTTAGTGAAACACTTAATTATAATATACAAAATTATACAGATCAATGTCTTCATGCATATAGAAATTGGTATGCACAATTTTATGATGGTTGTTATGAACGTGAAGCTAAATCACTTTTTTGGTAGAGAATTTAGTTTTCTAAATAAACCTATGCAAACTAAAATAATCATTTACATACATAATTTTTCTTAGAAAATACATTTTTAGATTAATAAATAAGGACATCATATAAAATCTTAAAACTTCCGTGTAACATTCTTCACGCTTATCACAGAAGGCTCGCTTAAAAAAATAACTGGCCCGATTGTGATGTTCCCAACTTATCTTTGATGTTTTCTTGTTTGCTTTGCTTCTTGGGATCATTGATTGTTTGTATATGATGTTTCATCCTTATTTTGTTATCCTTTGTCTTCTCCTGAGTCTCTCGATATTGTCTCTTTTCTCTCACTTTGTATATAAGCAATAGATGATATAGAATCAAAGGGACATTAGTTTAAAATTGCTATCACGATTGTATTAGAACACTGACTTTAATTGATTAATTATGAGACACAGTAGAAGATTCCGAGTCTTCAATTACGAAGAGTATGGTTAAGCATTCCTTATACGACATCAAACGTAAATCTAATCGTTCTAAATAAATCACGCAAAGCTAAAATGTAGATAAAAGTTTTTTTCTGACTTGATTTGTAATTAACTATGCACGGTTCAACTTACGGATCAAACAAAATTTATAACAAGTTCTTCATATTTGAATATATGGAGTGGTCAAAACGTCACCTAACAGTCCTATGGATGTGAAACTACCATAACATTATCGATCGCCATAATCATGATGGCAATTCTATTTGTCACCTTTCGGGAACCGACGTAAAGGACGCATATATACGAAGTCGACAAAACTGGATATTATCTATTTTCTCCACTAAAATGTTTTTCAGAGCTTGTTACAGATAATGGTCGGTGAAGAATCTGCAGAAATGTCTAATATCGAGCCTTGCAAGGATACAAATACTAAACAGCAATAAAATAAGAACAAAAATTATTATTAATCTTATTTCTACCATAACTAAGTTACTTTCATCAATATTTCCTACGTCTCGAATCGCGAATCATGATACCATTCATATACTAATCGATGCGGAATCATATCAAATATCCAGCAAGCAAATTGTTATCTACCAATAAACGACCAGTCACTGTAAAAAGCACAAAGAATTAGTAAAGGTCGTTCGAAACTCTGTAGTGCAACATGAAAAGCTCCTTCTATCGCCATTTAAGTTGTTGACTAGAGTATGAACCAAACAGCAATCAATCGACGATCTTATTTCCTTCCGACTAATGATCTCTTGTGCTTGAAACCGAAACAATTGCCGAAACCTTGAGAAACAAGTCATCTATTATTGTTAAATCTATTACAGCTTTTACGTATTCTTTTTTCAAGATATCAAATACATATACATCAATCGATGCAGAACTTTTATGACTATCGGCTGACGAAAGTATTCTTCCTCGGTAAACAAAGGTATACAAGATGCAAGATATCGATCAAGTGTGATGTTAGGTTTTGGTTGTATTTTCACTAGTTTTTCTGCGTTTTCGGTATGACCGATCGATGGTCGTGACAAAATAACATCATCATTTGATAGCCGAAGAATTTCTGCATTACATGCTGTATGTTGAGTGAAATGAAGAACACCTGTACCATCAATTCAATGTTTTAAAGTATGAATCGAAAATCACGATGAATTGGCCTTAGTTTCGTTCCTAACACAATTAAACCTCACTAAGTCAAGCTCAATAGAAATGAAAACTCATGAAATCAAGGCAATATCATGTAATGAAGTTAAGGGCCGACAACACCTTATCAATTCATTTCGTCTTAGCTTTCTTTACAAGTTTGAAGAAGCATTCAGGTTAAGGTAATTAATGCAATATGTGTGAAGTATACGCAATTATCGAAGGAGAAATATGCATGACATTGGTAAAGATCAAACTAATTGAATTTCAAAATCAATATTAGTAGATGTGTGAAGGTATAAATATGGCCCAGTCTATGAGAAACATTTATTGATATACGATGCAGAAAATTGTTTTCTTGTCTTTTTGCGGCTTCATAACAGTCAGCACTGTTAATGCTGTCATCGACTATTATGTTGCTAATCTACGCAGTGCAATTTAAAATATCTTCGACGATTACAAAGTTCAAATTACCGGAATGTCTGAAAGCATCGCCTAACTTCGTACCAATTTCACTGCACTATCAACGACAGTCAACAGTAATTCAAAAATATGTATGATTGTATCTCCGACATTGAACTGGAGATCTTATTATGCAGACACGTTGACAATGTATGTGAATACCACCACGTGTCGATTATCCAAGGTACCAAAATAATTTATCAATGTGTCGGGAACCAGTCATACTTACCTTATCATGGGTCTTTCGGCCATCTACGCACCTCAGACGAATAGCTTTGACATACATATCAAGACTAATGGCGCATTGGCTACTGAAATGCTGCAATGAGCCAAATCGTACACCTGGGATATTCATTGGATAGAAATCTACTGAAATTCATTCATCATGTGGGAACTTCCTTATTTGAAGACTAACATATTTGACTAGTTTTTTGTCTTTCTAGCACATGTCTATTAATAGCATCGACTTATAAAAGAATAAAAAACTTTGTTTCACTATTGATGATATACCGTAGTAAGATGTAGTTCGTATATAGTTGAAAGGTAGTTAGAATACAAAATGTGTTAGTTACACATTTCACATGCATAATAAATTCATTAAATCATTGTCTGGCAACGTGGAAAAATTATTACCACCACACATACTACGTAATAATTGCTTGAATCAAATTACTATAGATCGATGCCACTTTCAGTGAATGCTCTGTGGTATTGAATATGTTTCTTTGTATCTTGATTGTTGCATAAGCACAACAATGGAATCTAATACAAGAATTATGTACTCGTCTATACAACTATTGAGAGCTCATACGTAGTAAACCTTCAAAATGTGGGTTTGAACGAATAGCTCACAAAGCCCACTAATAGACAACTCAATTATCAGTAGATATTCTTGAGTTTTTCATCTCATCAAAGGCTACTTTATGAGTTTTGGGTTACCAAGTACATTTCTTTCGTTTGCAATTTCTCAGGAATCCATTCTGAGAAAAATATTTTCTTTTTTTCTTTAGATATGAATAAAAATTAAAAGTTTTGAATTCAGTTTCAAGACTATTTTCATGAAACAATGGTATTATCTTATTAACAGCATACGTAAGGATTAACTGAAAGCAAAACTTTAACACTATAAATGATAACAACTGATAATGAAAGAATTGGCATATTCTAATCTTCAATATTTAATAATGATATTGCTATTTTCAAAATTGTCATTATATATGATTATCCAACTGTTGTAAATTTTCATTATCTTACAGAGTATAGACTTGTGCTTGGTTGTTTTGAATATTGATACCAGTTTCTATGACAAGAATATCGATTTTCGAATTGTTTTAATAAAACTTTTACCCGCAGCTTTTTTATTCGTATTTAAAATGTTTTTATTACTAAACGAAAAATGATTTTCTATAGGAAATTGGGAAAAAAAGCACGACTTTAGGAGCTACCATAAGATTGCTATATCTCAACTAAAAAACATTGTAGACGACTCGAAGACACCTCATTTTGAAAAGAATCATTTCCTCTGTCATCCTATATAGTCTAAACAAAATAATATTAACCCACGCTAGACGCTAAAAAAACACTAGCCTTTTGATTTTCTGGAGTTTCTGTCTTGGAGAATCTGATCATCATGTTTACATTCTTATATTCATTTTACCTTGTTGAATAATTTTCGTATATCCTAAAATATGTTCTATAAACTATAAAAATAGTATATTGATTTTTTGTTAAAAGATAAAGTTTGAAAGTATATTTATATTTATGAAACAAATCGATATACATTCTCCTAGGAAATGTTCAAGAGAACGAAATTCATATAAAAGTTTATATTATGATGCTACAGTTGAATTAGTCCATTGTTGTGATTGTTTAATAGCTGTTTGCATTAAATATTGTGCTTGAATTATATTATTTGGCATACCTATTATACTAATTATACGATCATTACTTGGCAATGGATCATCAAATTTAATAACACAACCAGATTGTTGTCGAATTTGTGCTATACGTGTACCACGTGGACCAAGTATACAAGCTGATAATGAATTTGGTATTGTTACTTGAGTTGTTGTTGGCATAGGACCATTATTTTGTGGATAATTCGTATGACTACTACCACTACGATTATTATTATTATTATAATTTCCAGTATATTGTTGTTGATTTTGTTGATTATTTGGATTAAATCGTGTACGTGTTGCTTGAAAATCATGATTCTCAGTAAAACCTCCTGTAAGAAATAATGATGAGAAAATTTAAAAAAAAAGAGATAAAAATCTAAATACCATAACGTTCTACATCAACGCCATTATAAAATGATGGATCATAATTTCGTATTTGACCACGTATTGGTGTTTGATCAAGTATAGCATAAACTTCTAGAAACAAAAAATAGAAAGAATTTGATTGTTGCTTTTTTTTTTGAATAAAACATTTACCTTTTAAACATTCAACAATATTTGGTAATTCACCACGTAATGAAAGAATTCTTTCTGTTGTATCACCTGGAGTCGGATTCGGAAATACTTTTGTATCTAAATTATATTTTTGACGAAATTCTTTTATTCGATCACCACTTTTTCCCTAGAAATATATTTAATCAATATTTGTTTTTATAAATCTTGATTTTTAAACATACAATAACAGCACCGGCTTGTGATGAATGAATCATAGCACGTAATTCAACAAAACCAGGTCGAACACCTTGATTTTGTGCCATTATTGGTAATATATCAGCTAATATAGACATAGCTTTATCTTCATCTCCATATAAAATTAAAACACGTTCAGGTGTTTGAACTTGTGATACATCAATAAGATTATGATATTTATTTCTTAATGATTGAAAATTTTCACCATTTCGTCCAAATATAGCATGAGCATCAGATGCAGCAATTAAAAATCGATATTCTGTTCGAGATGAAGATAAATTTCGATTACGTTTATTATCATTTGAACCTAATGGTACATCTTCATTCGATCGTTTATTACCAGGAAACATTCCGTGATCCATTTCGATAACCAACTAAATATAAATGAGTATAAGAATGTCTTATCTTTCTATTAGTTCATTTTTGTTAACCAACAAGAAATACAATGTTTATTATATGTCAATTAAATAGATGGCGCAGCTTACAGGCATCAAAGTAAATGATTATAATATTGAAATGTATAAGTGAATAGAAACTTTCTGAATGACAAAAAGTCATGAAAAATGAGTTTAAATAGAACTTATGAAGTACAAATTGGCAGGACTGGACGGAATCAAGTCAAGTCAAATCACCAGTGTTTCCGTGAAAAGCAACAAATGGGGGCTACAACAATTAGCCGTAATGTCAAGTTGATTGCATGTTTTGACAGAAGCGTAGTTCCTATTTTACTTGAGACAAGTTTCAATTTGGTGACATGTGATTTTATCATATATTGCACCGAGTAAGAACTAAGGTGACATGCGAGAAATAAAGATTGACATCATGAAATGCATTTCATAGATAATCTCATTAGTACACGGTCATTGAATGTTGACATTCATATTTTCAATATATATCAAAATGTAATGAAATATAAAAACTATATTCATTGTTGAATAGCAAAAATTACAGTAAATAAAAACTTAAAAATAAGGAAAACTTATAGAAAATTATAAGAAAGTTTTTCAAGTAACTATTGTAAGGCTTTATGTTCAATAATTAAAAGAATTCATTAAATATTCTTATATAATGTTTCTTATTTTCTGGATTTCTTCGAAGTAGTTCTTCATAATACTAAGAATATTATTTTTGTCATTTTTTTTTGTTAATATTTAAACACAAAAGCAAAATAAGAACAGTTCTATATAAAATAAAATGATACAACTACTATTAGATTTATCAATAAAGTAAGAACAATAAAAAAACAATTCTTCTCTTTCATACAGTTCCATAAGACAATAATTTTTTGTAAACAAAAACTTAAATTTAAAATTGTTTACAAGAAAAAAGTAGTTATTAACAAATAAATGAATATATTATTGCACTTAAAAGATATTACAATGCAAATATTATTTGAACAATGTGATTTTATTAAAAGATCATTTTTTGAGAAAATATAACGAATAAAATTTTAGATACTCTAAAAGATGCTGTACAAAATCTGTTATCTACTTTTTTCTTCCATTCCTCATTCTTTGTTCAAAAAAAAGAAAATAGTTTTCTTTTTTTTTGATGAGCCATTGAACATTGAATTTTTATTTTACTTTCAATACGAATATCTGAGCAGAATAATGAACTAGAAACTTGAAATTTATATGGCCGTATGAACATAATTTATGTAATGAAAGAAAAAAGAAATTTTGAAAATCACTCTACAATTATCGGATGTGTAATAAAAAAAACTTCAAAACCTGAGTCGTGCAACAAAGCTGCTATTCACTCTTATGCAAACTAAATGTGTGACAGTTTGAACTCAAAACTTGCCGAAGGCTACAGAGTAGTTTTTACTCAAATAAGATGCGACAGCGTTGCATTGATGGATGTATTGAAGCAATTATGATAGAATTTTCAGCTTGATATCATTAATTTTGAACGAGATACTCTTCAAACTAAACTCAATAATAGCGCATTTGGGAAATCTGAATTCTATATAGGTCACCAACTGAAACATTTTTGTTTTATTATTTCCATTTGTTAGAAGACACATGGATACAGAGCATGATAGATTGCTATTTTTTAATATTCTTACACTTTATAAGAAAGAACAATTGACAAGTTCAATACGCTTCAAAACCAGTGAAAAAATGGGAGTCTGTTCTCGAAAATACTGTACTATATAAAAAGTCACATCTTAACTCAATAATCGAGCATCATCAGACTCTAGTGTTAAACATAACTAATCAGCTAAAATGAATGAAGTTCAAAAATTTGGTATTGCACGATCGAAAATGCTTGCATTGAGAAAGGGAATCAATGACACGTGAGCAATATTTCAATCACAATATTTTACTGTATTCGAGAGAATATCAGTTCCTTTTGGCGGACAAAGAAAAACAAATTCAGAAACTGCCATACAAATAAACGTATTCATCAATAATCATGTTGATTATGAAGCCTATATTTTAGACAAAGTCAATTTTGACTACAAAAACCTATTTTTAGAAGTAGGATACGAAAAGCATTAAAAAAAGTCATAACGCTTCATGGTTTGACATACAAACTAAATTCATTATAAACACTCAAATTATAGACTATGAGAACCCGCACTTCTTTCAAAATTAAGATTTCTGATGACAAATAACTTTTAAATGGAAACACAAGCGTTAATGATAAGGAAACTATCCAATATAATTCATTCCTTTTTAAGCTCATATTTTGAACATAGAGAAAAGATCTCTAATCATAGATTGGAGTATTGAACAGAAAATTCAATGAAAGATTTTTTTATCTAAAACTTTGCTAATATTTGAACGTTTAATACATCAAGAAGGAAATAATCGTTTTTATAATCGTGCAACTTACTGATAGGTAAAATTTCAAATAGGAAATTCAGTAGAAAACTAACCAGAGAAGGAATAAGTAATAGCACTTCCCTTTGAAAGATTTTTTGTTCGTTCGTTTTCAGCAAAAAAACAAATTTCTATCACATCGATTGAATCTGTAGTAAATATTAGTTTCATCACTACAAAAATTCCCTGTTGAATTTTCTTGCCAATAATTCATTCTATAATAAAAATTCGACATATTTATCGTAAGTCTTTAGAGAAGATTTGCATGGGTCATGAGTCCTGTTTGATTTATTCTAGTCTATGAATCTTTTCTATATACGCAATATATAAGCTCAAAAGTGATGAATCGTTTCGAATAGCTTTCTCTTTAGTCAATAAAAAAAGATCTGATGCTCTGATTGACTCAAGATTTATCATTATGATAGCTTCACATTGTTTAATCTTCTTTTGATCATGATTGTGATCTTTGTCTTCGCAGAAAAAAAAAGGCTCTTTTTAGATATTAAATATAAATTGTTTTGTATTGATGAATAAGATGATTCGAAATTGTGTCAAAGCTGAATAAACCTTCGTTTTTATATACTTTTTATTGTAAATAAATCATTATAAGACGTCTAAATTACCGTTTTTTAAAGTAAATATGATTTTTAATTCAAACAATTCTAATATTGATTTTAAGAATTCAAATCTAGAGAAAGACTGATATTTTCTGATTATGATTAACTTATCATAAAGGTCACTGTTGGTGAAACCGATGACGCAATTTTACTCTAAATGCATTATTTATTTCAAACAAGAAGAAGAAGAAGAAGAAGAACAAAAAAAGCATTTGTTGATAACGCCATATAATTGAATGATTTACCGCATGAAAGAATTCTTTATCATCATTATATTAGCTTGAATATCAGTAAAAATTAGTTTCACTCATTATAAGTCGTGATATATATATAAACATATGGAGTCCTTAAAGAATATTTAAATACATTTTTTTCAAAGCAAATGAAAAAAACAAACAAAAAAGAAAAAAAAGAATTTTTTTTCTTGTCAATATGAATACTATATTTTCAATTGATTATAATGATTATTAAGATATGCTTTATGATTTGCTCTAATATTCTCAGTAGAAATAATTGAAAACAAAAAATATATAAAAGAAAAGTTAATGATATGTGATGTAAGAACATTTCTCAAAATAAAAATGAATAAATTTAACAACAAGCTATCACGATAATTATTTTTATTCTTAACTATATTAAAAAAGTTTTGTTTATTTTTAGACAATATAAGAAATTACGTGTAAAAATTTTCACTAGTTGGTTTTTTCTTTTTCTTTTCCTTTAATTACCCATTCCACTGTCGTGTGTTGTCAATGGAAACAAAGGACATTATTTTCTTTCTTTTTCACTATGGAACTTCATATATCAACTTATATTTTTTTTTCTTTTTAATATTTTTATTTGTTCAAAAACAAAAAAAGAATGTTAGAAAATAATGGAACATTTTATGATACACAAAATTCACCTATTGAATTATCAGCTAAAGATCTTCAAGTGAAAAAATCTTATAATAATCATAAAAAGAAAACTCCAGTACGATTACAAGCATCAAAACCTCCTAAAAATTCGGTGAAAATAAAACCATCACCTATAAATATACATTTTACATGGGCATTAATTCTTACTATTTCATGTTTTTTTGTTATTGGACCATGTTGGGCACTTTATAAAACTTATGAATTACGTCGAATGATAAAACGAAAAGATTTTGAAGCAGCTGAATGTTTATCAAATAAAATTTCAGCTATTCTTCTTATCTCAACTATAATCGGTGCTTTTGCATGGACAGCTTTTCTTTTTTGTTCAGCTGGTCTTATATTAACTGGAATATTATTAAGAAAAAATTATATATAACATTATTAGAACTGCGATATAAATATATATTCAAATTTCAATATTTAGTTTTTCTCATTCATTTAAGTTCTTTTTTTTTTTTTAATAATAAAATGTCATATATTTTTTGTGATAGACAGTAAAGCTTTGATAAATACTGATGGATATAAATACATATAGTAAATGCACAAAAGAATAATCTGATCTTAGATAAAGCCCACGTCGGAATAACTGAATTGAAAAGAAGATTATCTACTGCTGACTATCTTACATTTACCATCAACAATTACGAAGTTATGCTAAAGTAATCTAATCATATATGGCTATGTTTGAAGAAGAAAATGAAGAAGAAATATCACACAAGTACTCTTTATTTATTTAGTCTATTGTTCTTTTTTCCTCATAATTGATCTTGCTTCTTTTTTTTTTTACACATTTACTTTTGCTTTTCAATCTAAAAACATTAGAGACAATGGGAACAAAATTGTATCACCTAAGTTTAATCATTGAATTTAATTGGCACATTTTTTCAACATGTCCACTTTTTCTCCATTACTTACATTTCATAAGCACGAATTATATCTGAAATAACTAGACCAAGTGCGTCATTAATAATGACGCACTCGGAAACACCATAGATTTGATTAGCAGATATTATTAAAATAAAATTTTAACCGGAAAAAAAAAGAGAAGGACATTTCCTGATTTTCGAGTATTGCCAACATCAGCATCAACGCAACAAGATAAATCTAGTGAAGGTATGGCATCATTTTAAACATAGTAAGAAAAAGGAAAAACAAAATAAAACAAGAAGATATTCGATTTGATGTCAATCATATGACAGTCGAAGGAAATGAACAATTTGATTGAACATATATTATAAGAACAAATAAGTAAGTAACATTTGGATTTTTAATGCGCACTATATATTTATTTTGATTGTATAAATCTATTTTGAAATGAACTATGAAAATAATATTTGATAATAATAATTATTTTGAGTACATCATATCTATGAATAAGTCCATGAGGTGAAAATTTATATGAATATTCTCTGGTATCTAAAGTCTATTATATCATGTTTATCAGATTTCTTATAAAGAATTTTTCTTAAATAAGATACCTTTCTGTATCATTTCGTTGAAGATCATAGAGGAAATTCGAAGTGAATATGAATAGAAAAAAATTACGAAAGAATATAAATATTTTCTATTTTGTTATTTTAACAAAAAACAAATGAACAAGTAGACATACATCCTTCGTGATCCGGATGAAGATGCAACGACATATAATTCATTAGGATAGAATAAAATGAATTCAATTTGAACTAAGCAAAGATAAATATATATATTTATGTTTTCTTCTGCTGTAATTCTTTTCTACGTAACCATCTTTTAAATTATTTATTCTCTATTGCATTTTCATCGTTAATGATCTGTTTTAATGTTTAACAAAAACAAGTAACAATTTTCAATCTTATTGCATCAAAGAAACAGGTGGGCGAATTTTTCTCATATTTTTATGCCTTTAAATATGTATGAGAATTTATGAGGATCAATAATTCTTATTATCTAGTCTTAAAAGTAATCATATCCAGAAGAGAATATTTCAACAAAAATGAAACTGCATGTATAATTAAGAGAAAAATTTCTATTATAGAAAAAAAAAGCGATGATTCAATTAATAAAATCTCTATATTTCTCTTCTCTGATTAAGTTCTTTTGTTCCTTTTCATCGTGGCTATTTTTTTTTTAGAGAAGAGAAAGAATGTATCTGTAGTTAAATTAGATTCATTATTGTAGAAAAACTTTCTATGAATGATTGAAAATTTAAACTCCGCTCATTTAAATGATACTGTTGACATCATTTATATGTTGTGGATCATACACTGACTTTATGTCATTAGTATCTCGGAGCAATTCAACATATGAATCAATTTGCTATCCTTCTTTTTTTTTCTCTAATATCATATTGTTATTTCTTTTATTTTTTTCTTTCCGTCTCCGGAAAAACCAATCAATCAGTCGTTCCATTTCTATGCGTCTCATCATTTCTTTTTTTCCTTCTTTTATACTCTAGTCTCGTTAATAACTATAAATGTTTTATAAAGACAATTGTATAGATGTGAGTAATCTTCGACTATATTTAAGTGTTTTTCGTTATTATGATATTCACTCAAGGTAATACTAATCTTTCGCTCTCTCTCTCTCTCGTTTTTTTTTTCTGCTATGTATTTCTTCGATATGGAAGAAAAGCTTCAATTCCACAGAGACATAACATAACAGCTACATTTTTAGTAATTTGTGCGGTTTTTCTAACATGACACATTAACTAAACTTTTTTTAGTAAACTACATACGCCTACATATTAAGGAAGTACTTTAAATATTACAATGTTTTGTCAACGTTTCAATTGACTGTAAAAACACAATATATTTATTGCATATTTAAATTATTTGATTTTCATGCATATATTGGATATACTATTTTGCGTGGGTGAAGAGAAAGAGAAAAATATTTAGTTTTTCCTCTCTCTCTCTCTCTCGTTCATTTTTTTCTCTCTCTCTCTCTCTCTCTTATTCTGCTTTATAGTTAAAATCTACTTGGCGTCAAATTATTATTTATGTTCTATTGGCATGAATGTGTATGCTTGTCAAAGAATGAGGAGGAGTAATTTTTACTAAGACATAAAAATTAATTGAGGATGTCCCGATTGATATTTGACGTGAAGTTCTCCGATCGACATTATCTATCGTCATTAATAATGTTGTATAGAGTAATTATTATATTTGTGTGTATTATTGGTTGGTTTATTACCTAGACAGACTTCCATGACATTATTTAATCATAAAATTTTATCATGTTCTGTCAATAAATATATCGAGAAATTTCGAATAGACATGAACAATTCATTGAGAAAAGAATATTTGCTCGTTCTTATTCTTTATTTGTTCCATTTCAATTGAATAGTCAGTCAAAAACAGATTTACTAGAACAGAAAAGAAAAAGGAAATATGAAGAGACTCGCAATTAATGTCAATCGAAAAGAGCATTTTGTTGATTCTCATACACTCACACTCTCACTTGTTACCTCTTGAGAATTTTCTAATAAAGTTGAAAAAAAAAATAGAAGATGAATCTATATAACGAATAAGTGTCACTACCTGCCTATCAATTTCCAAGGTAATTATAAGTTGTATTTTTTTCAGTATAGTTTTTTATTTTTCTTTGTGTTATAGTATTTCTATTAGATTTTATTTTAGACATGTCATATTATCTCATTTTATAGTCAATAAATAAATATCCAATTCATAATATTTCTATTATGCCTAAAGGCTTACAAATTTAAGATAGTAGTTTGTATGTAAAGAACAATAAAAATGGTCAATACAATTGTTTGTATCTTCTTCTTCTTCTTCTTTTCTTTTTTCGAATCATTGCCAAGAGGCAAACTTTTTCTTTTTCCTTTGACACATGTCAAACTCTCGTATACATCTCATGCTTACTATCCTTCTTTTTTCTTTTATTTCAGAACATCTGACGAACTGCTAATTCCTCGTCCTTTTTTCATCATGTTTATCGACATGCTGGTCGTGTTTGTTGTTTCACTTATTTCATCATTGTTTTTATGTACCACATCTGTGCACGGCCTCCCGTTATCATCATCAACAGCAAAACTTCATTATATCCATAGTTCTCCATCTGCTGATTTGTCTTCTTCACTTATGCTCTTTAAACATCGTCCAGTATCAAATGTTGATAATAATTTAAGTGGAGATAATATTGAAATGTTATTTGGTGACAGTAACGAAAACGATGATTTACCATTATCTTCTGTTGATGTATCCAATGAGCCATATGAATATGATTTTGAACCATCATCATCAGTAAAATTTTTATCTAGAAAATTGTTACTGTTACAAAATCAACATCAAGACAAACGAGCATTACCATCACCATCGAAGTTACATTTCAATTTTAATACAGCTGCTAACAAATTTATTGATTCATCCCATACAAATAATATAAATCAATTGAATGAACCGATACGTTTATCATCATCACTCAAAAATTTGGTCGAAACAAATCCGTTTGCACGTGCTTGGCTTACAATGCTTTTACAAAAACTTATGCAAGAACAGACTATGCCATATATTTTCAAGTATGGTCGACGTCGTAAATAATTCTCAAACAACAAATTATAAATCTCGTTAAAAAAAAAAAAAGTCAAATGATGAAACTTTAGCCAGGAAAATCATTTTTCCGTTGTGACAACAAATAAAAATTATTTGTAATATCATCGTCATCATCATCACAGCCGAAAATTTTGCCTGAATGTGCCGAAGATCCAAAATAAAATTCTATTCCCTAAAAAAAAAAGGTTTTTTTTTCATTTATATAATCATGAAAGCATAGGATTGTTCAGATATACAAAAGACAAAAAAAGAATCTGAAGCCATTTATTGAAACCATTTAAGAAAATTATAGAAATTTAACGTAATCAACCGTATGTCAATTAATTTTAAGTGCATCACAAAAAAAAAACTTCTTTGTCATTTACAATTGCTTCGATTGTTCTTTATGTATATATAGTAGGTACTAATGAATCAAGAGTAATATCAATATAAATTCAACAACATTTATCATTACATTCTATTTTAAGCCGATCGAACTTGTCATAACATATTTATCTACTCAACCAACATAATTAGTGATCTTAGAAAGCTTCATCAATTTATCGATTGACATTTCAATGATGTCTAGTTCATATCAGGAGTCATGACAGTTTAACTACTTCTCTTGTGTTCTTTTATCAGCATGTGATAAACAATTATTACATTAATTGATGAGAAATTGTAATATTTCCTATTTTGAACTTCATATAAACTCAAGGTCTTACTATTTTCTTTTCAATTCGTTTTCAATGAGATGAATAAAACTTAAATAATTACCATTACTTTTCTAATCTGACAAGATGCACTGAAAAACAAAAAAGAAACCATCTTATTTCTTCTATGTTTAAGTGCAATTAACTTGATATGTACCGCATCATTAATAGCTTTTTATCTTTTCCATTTGTGAGGATACATTTTAATGCAATGAATAAAAGAATTATAGAAATCCCGGTGGATGTCTGTAAAATAACTTCCTGATTTTTATCATGAATATTAAGTGAACGATTTAGGCATTTCAATACACATTATAACAGTATTGAGAAAACTAGTATTTTATTTTTATTCTAAGAATTTTGGCACAAAGAAAACATTATTTATATATATTGTTCAATGTGAAATAAATCATTTATAATCGAAATCAAAGTGTTAGAGAAAGAAAAACAAATTGCTACTTATCAAGACTTGAATCGAGACAGATGATCTCATGAAAAATTTTACAAGTCATTGAGAGAAACCAAATATACCGATTTTCATTAATGAACATAAAAATTCATTTTAACTTAAACAGAAAGTTATTAAAAGAATTAGAGAATATTGAATATTAATGACATCTATGAGTATTTTTGTGAATTCTTTAAATTATCGATATAAGTATTTTGTCTTCTTAATCATTAAACATGTAAATTATTTAGTTTATGTAAAAAAATATATATATATATATTAATATACATAAAAAATAATCGATAGATGTCAGAATTTTTGTTCAATCCAGTTTATATGAATATCAAAATTTTGACAGATAATCTAGAAATTTAATCATAAGAGATAAAAAAAAAAGCTAGATTACTAAATATAATATCTAACATCATGATGATATGTTCTTATTTTGAGTATTTGACTCATATGACCTTAAACTTCACTCATCATATTTAAATCAAAACGAATTATCAATTTTTTAGATTCATATACAATTGTATTTTGTTTATGAAGTTTAGAAATGTTCGATAAATTATTAGGTATGAAAAATTTATTAGGCAAAGTAAAAGATATATTTAATAATAAATTTCATAGCTAAAGCAACAAGTCCTCTCCTACTTGAACCCGATTGGGAATCAATTCTTCAACTTTGTGATATTGTTAAAACACAAGAAGTGACGTAAGAATCTATTTGATATATATATATATTTATATATATATATTATTTCAATGATCGATTTATTTCAGACCTAAATATACAATACAATCAATCAAGAAAAAACTTCGTCATGAAAATGCACATGTTATTCTCAATTCACTTCAAGTATATTATTTTTAATAAATTACATTTGGAAATTTTTTTTCAATATATATGTTTTTTTTTTCATTCAGTGTTTAGAATCTATTGTTAAAAATTGTGGTGGATCAATTCATAAAGAAGTTGCAGAAAAAGATGTGATGGATGCATTAAAAGAATTAGCTAAAGTAAATAAAATGAAAGAATGTTGACAACTTTTATTCTTCTTCTTCGTCTTAGAATGGTCCAGAACAAATTCGTGATAAAGTACTTCAGTTAATTCAATGTTGGTCTTATGGTCTTGGTAATATCAAAATAAATATACTGAATAATAATAATAATAATAAAGATTCTTATTGATTTTAGGTCAACAACATAAAATTTTTACAGATACATATAATTTAATGAAACTTGAAAATTATCAGTTTCCACCATTAAAAGAAAGTGAAGCTATGTTTGAAAATGATGATGTAGCACCGGAATGGCGTGATGATAAAGAATGTTTTCGTTGTCGACAAATTTTTACTACATTTATACGGAAAGTAATTAAAAACAAAAGATAAAGTTCTTTTTCCTTTTTTTTTTAATTTCAAATTTTTGTTTAGCATCATTGTCGAGCATGTGGAGATATTTTTTGTGATAAATGTAAATTTCAAAATATTTATAATAATCTATCTTAGATTTAAAATAATAAAAATCTATTGCAAATTTAGGTTCATCAAAATGTTGTCCTATTCAAAAATTTGGTATTGATCGTGATGTACGTGTTTGTGATTTATGTTATGAAAAATTAACAACTGGGTAAATAATCTTTATTACATATAAAATATAACGTAATCACTAGAAGCTTGATGTCAGACATTTGTTTCGTTAAGAATGGAATCAATTTAAATCTGCGAATAGATTAATATCGAGAAAATGTTTATGAAAATCTCGATCAGTTGAAATTAGAAGTGTTAGAATGATAGTCGACACGCATTAGATTTTTGTATATATGATTAGTATTTTATTCAGGTTTATTTGTTTTTCCGAGGGATAGTTTGAAGTTAGACTTAAGCAAGGTCAGTCGCTTTTGTTCGTGGTTTTGCCAAGACTATCTTGTCCATATCTATTTAGAACACGTGCATCGTTACCCTATGACATATGATGTAAGATTGATGTGAGAATAAAAGCTATTGCTCCAGATGAAAAAGTACTGGTCTTGACTCCAACCACTGGTTGGAATATTGAAAGGGTGAATAAGTACGTTCAAAAAAACAACTACGAAGTTCTTCGGATAAGTGTCATCTTTGCGATCCTACACCAGTCATCTTAATATATCTACGCTTTTTTTTAAAGCGTTGCATATGATAGGGATCTATTAATATATCTAAAATTGATGAAAGTTTATATATGAAATAGTCTAAGAAATTTACTGATAAGTTGCTATCTCAACGAAATCTGCCCATGAGCAAAAAAATCTTTGGACAGTACTCTAGTCTAGAGGACGAATTAGGAAAAAGGTTTTCATTAATAAAAAAATTTTCTATGAGGAGAGATTTTAAAAATTTTTGTTGAAACTTAGTTTTGTAAATAATCTTATCAGATAACACAAATAATTTTTAGCAATATGAGAAATCTCCAAGTTTTCCACAATCTTTCTTCCTCAAACTGCTCTTAATCCAAGGCAAACTCGAACAGTAAAACATAGCAAATTTTTGAAAAATAATGTTAAATTGGCTTTGACGCTTTTCTCATGATGAGCACAGTTTGGTGAAGAAAGGGTGGGAGTACCTCAGAAAAGTCTTATTTGTTTAAAAATATTGATACTATAAAATATCCTATTTTGGAAAGACGGCTTCGAACAAACTCATCAAATTAAGATTTAGAAATCTTTTGGTTTTTTGAAAAATTTCAATAAAAATTTGCAAAATATATCTGACTCATAGTGAGTACCTCTGAAAAGTTCGAAGAATGTTCACTATAAAGAAGTTATACTGTATGAATATTTGTTTGCCATTAACTTTTAAATAGTTCTTTTTTTATAATTAGAGTACCATTAACTTCAAAACCTGCTTCATTATCAAAACCAACACCAACACCAACAACTACTCCCAATCAAGTAATCATTACAATGAAAACAAAAAAACAATAATTAAGTAATTCAATTTTTTAGACAAAAACACAAGCTGAAATCGATGAAGAAGAATCTTTTCAACTTGCATTAGCTATTTCACAAAGTGAAGCTGAGGAAAAAGAACGTCAAAAGAAAGTATTAACTCAAAAATATGCAATGTCAACTTCAGTTTCTATACCAACAGTATGATATTAATTATTCTTTTTGAATTATTCTCTTTTATTTTTCAAAGAATATTTCTGAAAATGATAATCAATATACTGAATTAAATAAATATATCGAACAAGGACAACAACAACAACAAAATATTCAAAATGAAATAATATCACAAATATCAGTAAAAAATCTTCAAAATATTTCGAAATTTTGTTTACTCAATTTTTTTCTTTTGTTAATCAATAGGAACAAACAAATAATTTTATAAGTGATCAAGAAATCGATCAATTTACAAGTCTTGTTACTGATCATATAAATAATTTCAAATTTCGTATGTTAAGTAATCAACAACGTAATCGAAATATTACAAATGACACAGCTGTACAATCAGTTTTTGTTATGTTACAACATTTACATCCTGAACTTCATCGTTTTATGCAATTATTAGACGATAAACGAGGTAAATAATTAATCAAAATTATTTCAAATATATGTATATCTATATAAATTTTTTTTTTTTTTTCTCTAAGCTCATTATGAAAATTTACAAGATAAATTAACTCAATTAAAAGATGCTCGAGAAGCATTAAATGCTTTACGTACAGACCATTATGAAAGAAAACAACAAGAAGCTTTAGAACGTGAAAGACAACGACAAATACAATTAGCACAAAAACTTGATTTTATGAGACAAAAGAAACAAGTAAGTAGTTATTACAATTTTATTTTATCAATAATTTATACTGCAATATGAAATCTGATATTTCGAATAATTAAACGACAGTTTGTATGGAATTCGAATAAAAAGTATACTTTATAAGTGAATATTTACTTAAATCGAGTTTCAATTTCTCTCTCAATTGGTTATTAATACATCGACTCACGCTTAATCTCTATTATCTAAGATTGAATTTTTCACTGATGACAAATATTAATCGAATCTTTAAAAAAAAACTCGAGGGATTTGCAATGTAATTCTCGTGTAGTGTCTTGCAACTAACTCGGATACTCGAATTCGACTCAGCATTAAATGAAATCTTAATGTTTCAAAATATCTTTACTTTTTGAAACCGCTAATTTTATGTAAAATCATATCAATGAAAATCGATTCAATTATGCTTGAGCCATTAATTGTACTACAGAACAGGCTACACAAGTAGAAAGCAATATTGTTTTACTAGAAGAATTCAATTTTTAATAAAAATTCATATACAGATAATAATCAAGTAACTGAGTACATAGAGAGGTAAATGAATTATTAAATAGGAGACCATGTATCATCATAATGAAAAAGCACTCATGTATATATTCATAATTATTACGTTTAACACCAAGTTCTTATTCCAGCATCAGTTACCGTTACAATTATTATCCTTCGTATCTAATTAAAATTGTATGAAACACAATCCTCAAGAAGTGTTGAATTATAAAGATAAAAATTTGTACCTCGACAGATCGTGCCAAATATTGATATACGATCATAGACTATTTATAAATAGCGTCTCGTTACAATGCATTGATTATTTCCTTATTGTATTTCTAGTGGAATAAGTAAAACGATAATGAAGAAATGTATCCGAAAATAGATAGAATAAAAAAAAGATCTTCTTGTGATTAGCAAGAGCAGCAATATTATATTTCATATTTTAATCCTCTAGGGATTGTTCTAAAGAGCTGCTTTTTAAAGATTTCGATAAATTTCATGTCTCAATAGCTAATAGAAATCGACAAGTTCGACACTTTTATTCTGCAACTAAAACGTCGTTCTCAAAATAGAACAACATTTTTCAAACAGTTCAATTTCAGAAATTAAACTGTTGGAACAGATTGCTTCTTTCGTTCATTTAATCGATCGATATTAATTAAAGATAAATTCTATTTATAGGAATATCTTGAATATCAACGACAAGTACATCTTCAACATTTAGCTCAACAAGAATTAGAAATGAAAACTCGTCTTGAACAACAACGACAATTAACATTAGCACGTGAACAACTTTCACAAAATTCTCATTTAGTAATATAAACATTTTCTTCATTATAATATCAAATACAGAAAAACATTTCTATGATTTTTTTTTTTTATTTTGGAAATATTTTTCTAGTCTATGATATCATATGATTATAGTCAATTACCTCATCAACAACCATATATCACTTTACCATCACAACAAGCCATACATCGAACTAGTCAATATCCAATTGTAACATCTTTTCCTACACAACAATCTCAATATACTTCTATGATGACACAATCATCACATACAGATATAAATCTGTTATCTCATGTATCGTCGCCATTACCAATTCAACCGATTTCTTATCCAATAAACGTCAATGCAGGTAATTTTAGAGTATATCTATTTTTAAATTCTTATCTAAAATAGGAAGAATAAAAGAAAATACTCAGTCGAAAAAAATAATGTGTCATAAAAACCAAGTTTTATTTGTCTATTTAATCAGCGAATGAAAGAAAAACTGGTCTTTTTTTTTTCGTATCGTAAATCTGACTCATTATTTCTATTTGTTTAGATAATAATTATATGACTTCTACGGGGCAAATGTCATATAGTCAACAGCAACAATCAGTTCCTATTACTAATCAAAATAAACCAGAACCTCAATTGATCATTTTTGATTAAAGATTTATATCGTTCAATTCTATTTTTTTTTGTTATTGTAAAAATTAAAAAAAAGCAAAATTTATGAAGTTACTTTTTTTTTGCATATCTTTATCATAAAATATTGTAATATACATCTTTGTACTTAAAGTACTCTCGCTCTATATTTTTGTTCTTCGATAATTCTTTTTTCGAAAGAAATATTTTTTTTTTAACTAATAACGAATCATTTAATGATATCATGTATTTGAGTGTTTATGAATGAATAATTGATGACAAGGACAATATAAAAGAATCAGCGTCATGTATGTCACCCTTCAAAAGAACGAATAGCAAATAAATAACAGACTATTTTTGAAGGACATTGTTGGAACAGAGAACCGTTTCTTGTTCTCTTTTCTTGACGTCATGTTTAATCTTTTCTCTTTTTTTTTTTGTCTTTCTGTTCTACGGTAAGTGAAGGACAAACAAGTTATGGATATATAAATATGTCCATTACAATCAGGTAGTCAATAAATCATTGTCAAAATTTGTTCTTAAACGTCTTCAATTATATCTTTATATTGGTGATCATTGTATAACTTCTTAATTATTTCAATATGACTAGTGTTATTGAACATCGACAAAAAGCTCGTTTACCACCACGTCAACCATTAGATCGCCATTTATCTGAAATTGGTGAATTTGATGGAACGGTTTATATCAATGCCGGAATCGATTCGACTTGGTTTGTTATTTGTTTTTTTTCTTTGTTTTCATAAATTCGATTTTTATTCTGTTTGTATTAGTTCCAGAAAACGTAGTCGAACAATACATAAATTAACAGATGGCATCGTGATATCAACGACGGAATCAAGAAGTTCAAATGCACACAACGATAATCTATCTTCTACATTATTACATAGTAGAACAAATGATGATCGATTTGATGAGATTAACAACGGTTGTTGTATCCATTGTGGTAGAGGAAATACAATAATAAAGGACAATTGATTCCGTTGTGTTGCATATAATTTCAAATGTTTTTTTTTTTCTCAGTTGTTTTCCTTTGTATGTATATATACAGTAGTTCATGATTGAAACATAATATAAAAATAAACAAAATGTTAAATTTCATTGGAATATTCTTTATTTCTAGTCAGTATTACTGATGAAGAAAAGCACCTTGTTTTTTGTATTATTATTATTATTATTATTATTATTGTTAGCTCAATTAGAAAGCCTTAAGTTAAATATTATAATCAATGTTTTCAAAAGTCACGCATTTATATTTTGTTTGAAATATAAAGAATTTTGTATTGGTGAGGGATGTGTGATAATAATCAAAAAGATTATATTCTAAGATAAATTTTTAATAAAAGGAAAGAGACCAACGTGGCCTATTGGATTGGTTGTCAATAGAAAAGTTATTGTTCCTTTTGGAATGCTATAGTTAAAGTCATATTTGCAAGTTGGCTTCTATTGAAGTCGTAAACATCAATTTCTATTAGGTCAGCACTGTAAACTTAATGGTAAATGCCTCATCTATGATTCAACTGAACACATGATATACTATAAGTTTGTTTTTTTTTATTTCGGAAGAACAGTGAATACTCAAATTTTTTCTTTTCATTTCACCTTTAGATTGAGAAAAACCGAAAAAAGTATGCGTCATCAAAAAGATAAATGAATGTTGAGCTTTAATGGCTTTTCATTCCGTTTATAGTTTTTCTTTTCTATTGACTAAGTTCATTTGTGATTCAGAGATGTTCTCATCAGTTATTGATATTGAACGCTGTGTCTACTGGCTTTTAACTATATTCTTTAACATTGTTGTCCTTCAGAAGATCAGATGTTGTACTTGACGTTGAGTTTGATGGCTGCGTAAGTGATTTATCTCTCAAGTACATGTTAGATGACTAGAGTAGTGGCACCGATGGCACTATTCATAGTGATAGTTAAAGGATGGGTGTTCAATCTACTGTTGTCGATGTCTTTCAGGATTGATCGACTATTTTACGATCAAGTACCTTACTCTTTGAAAAGCTTTGTAATCATTTGAATAAATTGTAGATATATCACTATGACTTTGTCAATATCTTAATGAAAGTTACATGTACAACAGAAAAATATTTCGGAATTCTTGTGAAAAGTAACTGTTGACGATTCGACAACATGACTATTGAAAATAGGAAATAATGATGATGTGGTACAAGATACTACGAACGGTTTCTGTTTGACAGGTCTCTTTACCAAATCACCTCTAGAAGATCTTTGTCATTGAAAAATTTTACAATTACTAAATCCAATTTTTTATTTTACTACAAGAATACATCACAATAACCCACGACTTGTTGTGATGAGTAGACCAGAAAATCTATCATCATACGTCATTGATTGAAAAATAAATAATAATTATGGTTTAAATGGTTATAAAAATTACATGATTTTAATTGTTAACAACGTTTCTAGCTTTGGAATTTAATTCAAAATACTATATTGCAATTTATTTATTATTCACCCTAGTTTCATGTTGAATGCTTTAACTACAAAGTAATAGTGTTTCACAAAAAAAACATAAGTTTTTAACATCAATTGAGAAAACTATTTTATTATATTACATAAATTAACAAGCAAGAAGTCCTTCTCACAAACAACCTAGTTTTATAAATATACAATATGATGGAATATTAACGTCTTTCATCTTGTGTTATTTTTGAAAAATTCTTATTATACTAATTCAAATATTCTTCTAATACAACTGTGGCAAGTGGTGGAATTGACAGTCGGAAAAAAGTCCATTCACTATGCATATTGACTACGTCAGCTTTTTGATTTTGAAATAATCCTGATCCACCATAAATCGAATTATCTGAATTAAATATCTCCACTGTCTTTCCAATACGCCTCACATTGGGGTCCCATGTTGGCAAAGACACATCATAAGATTTATATCCTCGATTTGAAAAATTGTGAATGATTGCCATACGTCGATTATCATAAATGCCTCGATGATATGCTACAATTAAATTTGCTACACACTCGTATATCATCGTAAAATCTTGATCTCCATTTTGCCAAAATTGAGGATGATCTCGATAAAAATAGTTGAGATCAGAGATATATTGTTGAGTTTTACTATGAAAAGATAATGTATTAGTCAACGACCAATCTATACTAGACATGCCTTGCCGGAATCGTTGAAACCATGATACAGGTTGAACAACTTCGTCACCCATATGAATCATATGACCATGGCTCGGTGCAAATGTTTGCCAAGCAAAAAAATTTCGCAGATCGGAAAATTTTTCCGTATCATTTCGGCCATATGATACACATGCGAATAGAGTCTTGTGGTGATCGCGTTCATGACAGTCTGTATCATCATGACTCAACGTGAGAATCATTTTGTCATTATTTTCTCGAGCAGAATTCAACATATTCAGAACTTTTTCATACCAATGACGTGGTCTTTCATTGAAGGGCGTACGTAAGAGATTCATTGCGTCATTAATCCAGCCTATATTCCATTTTAAATCAAAGTTCATAGTCATGGTCAAATTTGGATAACCTTCCGTTTCTTCAGCAATGCACAAAACACCGGGATAAAACCTATGAATAGTCTGATTGAGTTCACGCAAGAATGATATTGCCGCAGGTATATCGTTCGATTGGCGTCGAATCATCTGACTAACAGCATCAAAACGGATTCCATCGATGTGCATTTCATCAATCCAATATAGAGCACTGGCAAACAATAGATGACGAGTTTCTTCCTTGTTAAAATCGAAATAGAGCGTTCCCCATAATGACTTATGACTGGCATACAAATTTGTTCCATCGAATTCGTGTAAAGAATTTGAAAACCAATGGGATTTATTATAGTGATAAAAATGCGTTGGAACCCAATCGATAATCACTCCAATAGCATACTGATGTAAATAATCGACCAAATATTTTAAATCATCACATTTGCCATTATCGTGATAGGGAGCAAAATAATTGGCTACTATATAGCCACGTTCCCATTTGTAAGGATGATCAAGTAGACCGAACATTTCCACATGAGTAAAACCCATCGTAAGACAGTAGTTAGCCAATTCCGGAGCTATTTGACGAAAATTCAATGGTTGATGGAAACCGTTTCTCCATGATTTTGGTTGAATTTCATAGATAGATAATGGTGCACGTAACGGATTGGTAAGTGCACGTTGTATTAACCATTCTCCATCACTCCATTGATAAGCTGTATGATCATGTACAACCGAATGAACTTGATCGACTTCAGGAATGTGAACAACGGAAAAACTCACCGGATCCGTTCGCAACATATATTTACCATTACAGTCATCAATAAGATAAAGATATGTACGACCTGGCGGTGCTTTATCTGTAGTAACTTCCCAAAGACCTGTATTCATTTTTTGCATTCTGAGTTGGAACTCTTCCCGACCAAAAGCTGTTAAAATAACCCAAACATTTTTTGCATTTGGTGCATAAACACGAAAAGTAGTCCGTCGATGGTCTTTACAATATTGTGCACCACGGATCTTGTAAAGCTTTGCATGCATAGTCGTTTCATTGTCTTTTGATGCCATTGCGCTATTATTGATTTATGTTGATAAATTTCTCAAAAGAAATAATATTTCAATAGACGATCAAAACAAAGTATGCATATACTTTTATAATCTGAGGAAATTTAATTTACATAAAAATAAATCCAACGTCACCAAGATTTTTTCCCATCATGTTGATTTAGATGATGAGTCATTCAATGTTGCACTATTTAAATTCATATTTGTGAATTTTTTTTCATGAGTGAGTCATCTCTCGTTTGCATACTATTCGAAGAAAAACAACGTAGCATAAATATATGTTAAAACTCATGCATTAAGAAAAAGAACATTTTCATTTCATTATTTTTTCTATTACTATTCGAGGAAATATACAAATTTGATCATCCATTAGTCGAGTGACGAAAGAATAGCACCGATATTATAATATTGTTAACGTTTTTTACAAAATATTGACTAGTTGTTTAGTTCAATTGAATGTAAACAAGCAATGCATTACCATGAGTAAACATTGTACAGCAGAACAAAAAAGGACGTGAAAGTAGTTTGCAAACATTGAGTCATCACTTTTCATCGTGTGGTAAAGTGAAGAAAAATAAAAAATGTTTGAATTTCGTCATCGTTAAAGCCTATTGAGAAACAGTTGACTCTAGGCTAACAAACTCGCCGATGTTCTTATGTAACTAAATAACAACAAGGTCTTTGATGGCACCAAATCATAAATGAGTATTTAAATTTCCATAAACATCGAATAAGATGAATTAAGAATATTAATTTTTTTTCTTCTTTTATGATCCTTACATATAATTCGCTAATGATTTCGTTGTTTAATAATTTGTGTAGTCTCTTACATATTTAAATTGAAATTGTATTTACTATGATGGCCACTGGCTGTGAGTCACTTTTGTCGTTCTGCAAAATATTCTTTCGTTTGGTTGCTGTTGTATCGTACTAAGGTTTTAAACAATAAAAGCATGACAAAATTTCGTAAAAAAAAATTCGTATCGTACATCTAAAACAACGTAAAGAAGGCAGTGTTTTAAATTTTCAATCATTCTAATTTTTGACATTTTGAATCTTCTTGAATGGTTAAAATGAACTGGTATTTATGTAACTGAACAAAATTTGTTTTATATACATCACGGTAAAATAATACCACTCACATGCATTTTTTGTGTTCGACTTATGATTTTAGCTTTTCTATATTTGTTTCTCTATCTTCCATGCTCATATCGTATTCTCTTTTCTCTCTACTACAATGATTGAAATTAATTATATCGAGATTGATAGGTCTACGCAGTATTCGTATGTAAAAGCTGGTTTGTCTAAACAAATCTACTCGATTAATTTGGACATGATCTATCATTCATTGATGCATGATGATCATTCTTCGTACTTTTATTAGCTGTACAATCTTGTCATTCTACATCGTGCCTTTCTACATTGACAGAGTAAAAGCAATCATTGATGACATCATCAGTGCAATGTTGGTTAATGTTGTAAAACAAAATTATGCCTAATTAAGGTAGTTTTCCTTACTAAACAATGGTCTTCATCTCTAAACTAGGAACAAAACACATAACGAGGAAACTGCTGTCTTTTTCAGCAAGTCTTTCTCTAAAGAAAATTTCAATCAATTTATTGAACGAAACAATATCTCATGATTTTGCTTCAAGATTACACTAGTAATATTTGCAGTGTTTATTGCGGACAAAGACATGTTTACATTCTTGTCGAAAAATCATAGTCATTCAATCCCGTCACTCCACCATGGAGGTCGCAATCCAGCGATTTCTATGCCGGTCGCAAGTCCGGGAAAAGGAGGAGCGTTAGACGGAAGGAGTGCAGATACCGCCGTCTGTCAAAAAGAAAAGACGAAAGAAACCAACCATGAACAATCATAATCGAAAACCATACCGGCTCGGACGTCGCCCGGGTGAACAAGGTCCGCATCCTCTGTCGAGTAACCAGGACAGAATCGAAAAATTGGATACTGGAAAGACAGGAACAACAGCAGCAGTAACGTCAAAGGTCAAAATTGGTAAATAACGATGGGAGATAATGAAAGATACACTTACAGTGGGTACCTGCAACGTTCAAACGTTATGGGCAACAGGAAAACTAGAACTGCTAAGAAATGAAATGAAACGTTTCAGATTCAATGTAATCGGCATCTCTGAAATACGTTGGACAGGAAAAGGAGAAATATCAGATGGTGACTTCATCTGGTCAGGAAAAGATACTACACACAACAGAGGTGTAGGAATGCTACTAAGTGCAAGAGCAAAACAGACACTAATAGGATACAATCCGATTAGTTCACGAGTAATCACGGCTAGATTCAATACAACACCATTCAAGCTCACAGTAATAGACGTGTATGTGTCAACATCAGCATCATCAGACGATGAAATCGAAATATTCTACGATAGCATGGAACATGCACTAACACAAACGCCTAAAAAGAATATAGTAATCGTAACTGGTGATTGGAACGCAAAAGTTGGCAGCGATAACACAAACTGGAAGTTGGTCATGGGCAAATATGAATATGGTGATAGAAATGAACGAGGCGGTCGACTCCTAGAATTCGCAGCACTACATAATCTACATATTTGCAATACACGATTTCAACAGAAAGCAAATAGAAAATGGACATGGGCATCACCAGATGGTGTGCACAAGAATATGATTGATCTAGTGCTGATTCAAAGGAGATGGAAATCATCAGTCACGAATTGTCGAACATTTTAAAGTGCTGATATCAGCTCAGATCATTCACTAGTGCTATGCAACATCAAGCTAGACTAGGCAGCAGGCTTCAAGATATAGATTCAGAGTACAATCTAGAAGAACATGCAGTGAAGGTCGAGGAAGCAATAAAAGAGGCATTACAGGCAACTGTAACTACTACAAAGAGAGCCAAAAAGCCCTGGATATCTGAACAAACCCTCGATCTAGCAGATCAAAAACGCAGAATGAAACAAATAAAGAACGTTTCAGCAGAGAACGACCGGCTATATAAAAGCTTGTGCAGCAAAGTAAAGAAATCGGCACGGCAGGATAAAGAGAACTGGATCCAAGATCAGTGCGAAGAAATAGAAAACGGCCTAAAAAATGGAAATACCAGGCAAGCCTACCGCTTAATAAAAAACTGAAAAAGAAGTTTGTAACGCGAGTAACGGTAATAAGAAACCAAGATGGCACAATGCTACAGTCAAAAGAATGCGTGAAACAACGATGGACACAGCACTGCAGCGGGCTATATACAGATGAAGGCGGTGGAGAAGAGATGGTCAAGGAATTGGAAGGTATCTTCCCATCATATGAAGAAGATCCCAAAGATATCCTGTATTCCGAGATAGAAGAAGCAATCCGGACACTAAAATCCAACAAAAGTCCGAGTTCAGACGGTAGTACAGCTGAGATGATCCAAGCTGGAGGTGAACAGCTTGTGCACGAAATCCACAAGCTATGCAGCAAAGCATGACACGAGGGAACAATACCAGAAGAATGGGGAAAATCTATCCTGGTACCAATACCAAAAAAAAGGAGATCTCAGCGAATGTGCAAACTACCGGACAATCTCACTCATAAGCCATACAGGTAAAATCCTACTGACTGTACTGTTAAACAGACTCAAACGCCATCTGGACCCATACTTGTCGGAAGAACAAACAGGATTTAGACAAGACAGAAGTACGGTACACCAAATTCTAATACTCAGGCTGCTTGCAGAAAAAGCAAAAAGACAAGGGAAAAAGATATACAACTGCTTCGTCGACTCCCAAAAAGCTTTCGACACAATCAAACATAAAATCATATGGGCTGTTCTCAAGTCATACGGAGTCGAGAACAAAATGATTACACTACTACAGAATATATATGAAGAAGCCCAATCAGCAGTACGAGCGGAGAAGGAAACAGGAGAATGGTTTCAAATCAGTGTTGGAAGCAGACAAGGAGATCCTCTGTCACCACTACTGTTCATCACATATCTCGAACGGGTAATGGACAAAGCAATGCAGACCAATGATGGAATAAATATCAGTGGAACACTAGTGAACAACCTACGGTTCGCTGATGACATTGATGTCCTAGAAGAGGACTGCGACTCACTACACCAACAAATCGAACAATTAAGAGTAGCAGCGGAATAAACAGGACTAATAATAAATACAAAGAAAAAAAACACTAGTATTCGGCGACAGAAACATTGAAAAACATGTTCAAATAGCAGGGAACACAATAGAAAATGTAGAGCAGTTCGAGTACCTTGGCAGTCTACTCACTGGGACAACAACTGTACTGATGAAATCAAGAGAAGAATACGCAAAGCAATAGGAGCAATGGCTGCACTAAAAAACATATGGAATAGCAAGAAAATAAAAATAGAAAACAAAATAAGAATCGTAACTACTTGTGTCTTCAGTGTACTATTATACGCATCAGAGACTTGGACACTGAAGGAAACCGATCGAAAGAAACTACTGGCGTTCGAAATGAGATGCTATCGAAGAATACTACGAATCAGCTGGAAAGATATGATACGAAATACAGACATAAGGAAACAGATAGCAAGACAAGAGACCATCATAGACAACATCAAGAGAAGGAAGCTGCGGTTGCTCGGCTATATCTGTCGAATGAACGATAACAGGCTGATAAAACACACCGTATTCGCAAGAATAACGGAAAAACACGAAGAGGACGCCCATGCAGCGAATGGATGGACGATATAATAGAATGGTGTGGACACAGTGGACATGACCTGTTCCACCTTACGCAAGATCGAAGGAAATGGAAAGAAATTATCCGAACAGCGGTTGATCCCAACGGACGATAAGCCTATGGGACATCATCATGAATTCAATCCCGTGAGAGCTTTAAATTGCACGAGATTAATCAGCAAATGGATCGAAGAATTGTAAAACTTCATAAGAAAAACTATATCCGAAAAAAACCTCATTCATAAAATGGACTCTAATTCATAATTAGAGTCATTAAAAGATCCAATCAAATGTAAACGAGCATGTTGTCGGTCAATGCTGAAAAATGTTTTCTTTTCCAGCTGTAAGGCGTACAATGAAACTTACAAGCACATGGATTCAAGCAGTGTCTATTTCAATTGACACCAAGTTCTTTATTACCTGATCAAAGTAAGCTTGCTGCTTGCGTTCGATCTTCATCTCATAAGCAATGAAAAATAGATTAGGAAAAATAAAAAAAAGGAATCAAGTATCTTTTCTACCAATGGTTAAAAAGACGCAAGAGGAGTCGCATTAAAACGTTTCTGAATCAGAATTATTCAATTTTTGTTTACGTAAGTAAAAGTAGCACCAGATTCGAGTGTTTCTTGTCCCGATTCGCTTTCTTACCTGTGTTAACTCTCTAAGCGCTTGTGTTAGGTGCAGAATTTTATGCTCTATCGAATGATACAAGTTTCACCGGGGGGGGGGGGCGGCCGCCG